AACATGAATATCGTATAAAAGCCAAACGGCTGCCGTACAACAGGATTCATCCATCCTGATCTGGTGAGATCGACCAACGAATCTATTCTTCATCCACTTTCATGGGAACTAAAAGTCTCCGTAACGACATTATCTCAAGAGATTAATCGAAACCTAGTTTCTCTTCGTATCTATAATTGTTCTCAAACAGACATTTCCTTAGTCGTCTCAATTCCTAGTCCCGAAGATTAATATTTGTCAGAGGCAGGCTCCTTATTATCCCAGACTTCATAGCTCCTACTTTAACCCCATAAGTGTGGTTGGAAAAGAAATTCGAACGGAAACCTACCTTTGAGGATTTACTATACACATCTCTACCTAATCTTGTCCCCTCTGTACTAATTAGAACGTAAAGAAATGGTAAACCACCTTCCTTTTCGTACTCGATGGCGAATTTCGCTTTCCCATCTACCCTGTTCACCAAACCAATAAAATTCTCTAGGTTTTCTTTGCTATGTTTTCAAGTAGCCGAATAATCGTTCATATAGCGAACTTATAATTTAGGGATTAAAAATGCCTCCTAAACTAAGTGTTCCTCAAATTTAGTCGTGGAAATACTTGCTAAAATTGCTGACGGACAAAATCCCATAGCTAAACCTCGCATTTGTTCGTATAATTTACCATTAAAGGTAAGTTATATACAGTGAATCGCCAAGTTGATCAGTATCATTATTGACACTTTATTTAACCTCGTACTCCCTAAAATCTCCGGGTGTTGGTCTGGTGTGGATTTCAGGCCCATATGACATCATCTACAGGAATCTTGGTGTAGTCAGACTCAACATCAAAACTTACCAGCAAATCCCCACTTTATATCTCCTGTTCGTCGGCTAAGTTAACGAAATCATAAAAATTCTTAACTGAAGCCCTCCACGTCTCAGAGACTTGCTTTACCTGGTGGCAAATTAATTGTGATGTTTTATGCATCACGCTTTACAATAATTCTCAGTTGTATTTCTTCTTTATGTATTTATGGCAGATCATATGCATTCGGAGGCCTGGTAACTCACTGAGGAAGAGTGCCCATCCTCCACTGCTTCTCCATTGTCTGCTCTCAACACCATTTGGTCCTGATCGTCCAGTTTCCTTATGATGTTTTTAATTCTTTTATTCCTGGGTTGTATTTCTACATGGCTATCAATTAAAGGAAGGACCTGAAATTAAATATCGCTCCTATTCTCTTCTGGAAGATTATCATATTTTCCTTAAGTTTAGTAAAGCAAAATTCAAACTTTTTGAGAGCCCCTCTTCTCTTCAACTATCCTTTTCTCCTTTTTTATGATTCTTGCATCCAAATTTCTAAGCTTCTTATCATGTGCATATCATGTCTGATGAAAAATTCTTTCATGTAGCCTGTCCGACATTCCGTGCAAATCAGGGAAATCTTCCGAGCTCGCCAATAATTGGCGTAATCTGGTTTTCCTTCTTATTAAGGAGTAAAATTTTATGTTTTCTTAGGTCCTCATATTACCTAAATCCTAAAATGCGTTAGGGAGGACTCGTTTAGTTCTATTGGGTAAATGTGAACAAGCAATAATACAAAATCAAGGAACAGCCATACGAGATAAAAATAAATTCAAAGAACGAATATGGCTAACTGGCCGGTCCAGTGTTTTCTTGGTCTTAGTGTAAAGTGATGATTCTCGGAAACAGTGCTATCCGTACGTACTAAGTAAGTTAGTAGAAAAACCGGATTTAGAAGACTCCCTTAATAGATTCATGTTGAAATACCTTTCATTTCTTCTGATGAGGCGAGTGGAAGGGATTTATAAGTTTTCTCAATGAAGGCTGTAGGGCGATCGCCTTGGAGCTGTGACTGTAGATTTGAGCAGATAGGTGTTCGGCGCACCTCCCTTCAACCTCTATGAATCCGTGCTAAGATTTCGTCACTGCAGTCACTGTTCAACAAACCTTTAGGCAAAACATAGGATTTCCAACCCAAACATGAAATCCCCAATTGAGTATGACAAATTCTCATCTATTCCTCCGACCCAGACTGAAAGGCAGAATAGATCTCGCCCGGATATCGGAGTTTCATAGGTCCCGTAAAGTTGACCCACTGGCGCTCAAACGTGGCTCTTTGGCTGAGTGGTAGCATGTCGCCACGGCGCACCCTACTCGGTTTTGAATTGTGCTGGGGGTGCTGATGAAGTATAGATGGGGCTGAAACTGCAGTCCGGCCTAGAAGAGAGATGTCTTCTAGGAGGCAAGTCCAAGAGAAATTCAATGGCATCACGAGACCTACTTATGCAATTCTGTGAAAATCTCACCTATCATTCCTTAGATCATTTTAAGCCACCCATAATGCCTAAGTTAATATTTACGAATAATAAACAGTCTCATACCTACTCATTTCAAAAATAGGGTAGATCTCAGTGAAGAAAGACTGGGTCATCCCTATTGCGGTGCGGGCTGGGGTTGACTAATCAGAGGGATAACCCTCCTGGCTTGCCTCTTATGCACACTCACGATAGGAAGGTTGAAAGTGATTGTGATCTAGGTTTTGGCTTATTCTTCTTCCTCCTGTCTACTAGAATCATAAATGTAGTAGCTCCATCTTGTAGAACACCAGTTCTTAAATGAATCGTCTGGTCGAGTTGAGTGACTTGGAATAGTGTTCGCAATCTATTCATCTGCGTTGGCAAAAGAGGTCGGATAGTAGCGCTGTTTACTCCACCGGTAGGCGATTGCTCAACATGAATTTGGTATGAGATCAGTTTGTATTTCGCATACAGGAAGATCCCCCCAATAAATGCATGTTCTCATACCTTCCATTTGAGTTGAAAAGAAGGAAGGACAGGAAAATAAGTTATCGATATTAGCAGTGAATCAAGAATATGAGGTTCAGTCACTTTTTGTCAGACAATATGAGGATGGACTCATTGTTAAATTATCCCACATTCTCATCCAGGTTATGCTGCAGGTTTGACCTTTCCTGAGTGCACTCAGCACCCACAGTGGGACTCGAATTGTGATAGTGCAGCGTATAGTCTCGAAAAGTTAACCACTACTCCACACTGTTACAAGTGACCTCTGATCAAATACCCTATGTGAATTTGAAAGAAGGCCAGGCCTTTCCCATGTAAATTTATATAGTGGGATTGGCGATAAAGCAAAGTTGAATTTGCGATTACAATCAACTACATTATTTATTTTCATCTGTGAGTAGGATTCAAGCCTACCAGCAGATCATATATATGAATTGTACTTACCCTATTTATCTTAAGATAATGAAGGAGGGACAGCTAAATTTTCCCACAATGATACGAGTTACCCTCACGTTTCAATTGAATTTCAAAGCCTTACTTTCGAATAGGGATTCCCATCGCTTATGACTCGCGGGCACCCGTGACAGTGTAATGAAGTGCCAGCATTGCCAGGATACACACAACCTGGATTCGAATTTTGCTGGGGGTACGAATGAGACCTAGGCGTGGTTGGAACTGCAATCCACTCTAAATACGAATTTATTTTGGGAAGCAAGGCTATGTGACATTCACTAAGAAACTGAGGACGACCCATATCATTTTGGGAAAATTCAACTACCAGTCCGTCATCCCTCAAATGAAATAGAGTGAATAGTGCTCTTATATAGGATCCCTCGAAAGTTTCGAAACCTGCTTATAAAATAAATTCAAGCCGTTTGGGTCTTATGCAATGGTTTCATGTTCTAAGGATGTCTCTTACTTTTGGAAGGACGAAAGCCCGGCACAGATACATCGAAGGGGAAGGATAGTGTGAAGGCCTATGTGTATAAATCCATTAACAACCAGAAGACAATCCTCTTTTGATTTCTGGTGGAGTTAATTATCGAATCCCTTACATCCGTCTTTGAAAGCGAGATAACATCTTTTGTTTATTTAAGAACGTTGCAACTCCGCGTAGGAATTAAATGAATAGGCCCTAGGATGCCATTAAATTACACTCAGCGATCTCTTCAAAAGGTATTCTCATTTAAATTGGACTGGACTCTTGTTTCAACCTCTCATTGGTCTCATCAGCACCCCCACCTGGAACCGAACCTCCACATCTTACCACTAGGCCACACTGCCACGAGTGTAATTGGGTCATAGGTCAGGTGCGACACGCAAAACAAAACAGGCTTTATCCAAATCCCATTTTATTTGTACTTGCCATTTCAATCGATGGCGTTATTTATTTTCAATTAATTGTGGTTTTATAGACTATAATTAATTATTGAATAGGAGCTTCAAGTGATGATAAAATTTTTCCCACAGTCAGCTAAAGTAGGCCTCATTATGCCGTGGAAAAAGGACATTACATACAGGCTGGACTTAATTACAGTCCCAACCGCCAAATAGTTGCATCCTTCACTAAATAGGCGCCGTGGTTGAAAAAAAATGTAATTTTTTGGATTTGCGACCCAATGGCTAACACCTGCCCTCCCGACCTGGCGAGGCGCCAGGCGACTCACCATTTGTGCACCGGTTGCCGTGCCGGCTTCATACGTCCCGGGGGGATGATTCGCCCGTGTCTGAGCCGTGGGGGCTCCACGACTCCGTAGAGTTCCTGTTTGAGCTCGAATCTTCTGACTGCCCAGGCAGACGTCGGAGTTGGTGGTCACGATTGTTGGATGGCCGGCGGCTTCGTAGGCTGGACCATGCGAAGTCGACCTTCCTCCGGCTCCCACGAGGGCACTTGTAGCGCAACTGGTAGAGTTAATACCACAGCTTGTCCCACCACCGCCATGTGCAACTCCGTATGTCGAGCTGACGGCCAGATCTTCGGTGGCCTGCGAAGTCCAGGCTCCTGGATGACCTGCCTGCAGACCCTCCCAGAGGTCAGCCCACATTCCTGGCACTTCGGGAAAGTGGTGTTGGTTGGTAAGTAAGTGTGCCTGTAGGCTCCATACGTCCATGAAGCTGACATGGCAAATGAAACACTTGAAGGCATGTATGTCCACCAGATCACTAGCCTCGTCATAGTTCTTTATCCGGTTCACCCAGTCGCCAAGTTATGATGCAAAAGGAAAGGGAGATGAGCGGTTTTAAGAGGATTTCACCAACAAAATAATTCGTGAATATGAACTTTATCAGTCCAGATGGCTTAAGATGATTTGTATGTACGAGGAGTAACTGGGTTTAGATCAATCTCCTAAGATGACATTGTTGTGGAGACTTTTGTTCCGTATGAGAATGCATGATGAATAGCTTCGAAGATCGATCTAACCAAAAGAAGATTTCCGATTATCGATGCACGGCGGTCGTTTGGCTTTAATATGACCTCACTCGTTTCGAGTGAAAACGGGCTGAGCTTTCTTCCATCATATGATAGACATCATTAAAGTTGAAACTCATTCTTGCAAAGGACTCAATTTAAAACTAGAGCTGGACAGTCTTCTTGACTAAGTGTCAACCTGAGACTTCTACCAGAATGTTCTCCTGCTCTGCTGATGTCCATCACATAATGAACAAAAACCCTGCCTGTTTTCACCCGAAATGAGACAAGATGTTTCATGCACTGCTTCAACCCGAACGTTGTATTAAAGCCAAGCGGCGGCAGCAAAACAGGAATCAGCCGTTGTCTTCTGGTGAACTCGACTTTAGAATCTTTTTAATATGCACTGTTATTCGAAGTGAAAGTTTTCTTAATGGGGATTTATATGGATTGATGTTGGAAAGTTCCTCACAACTTTGTGAGTAGGCCTCAAGATGCCATTGAGTTTCCCTCAGTCTTGCCAGCCAAAAACTTTCTCATCCTGCCTGAGATCCGGCTTCATCCTAGTCAAGTTATCAGCAGAATCTCCAACGGGATTAGAATCTGGGTAGTGCAAGTAAAAATGGCGATACATTAACACTCCACTTAAGTCACCGGTGGCAGAGGGATACAGATCAGATGGGAAAATTATGGTAATCCAGGCCTCTTTTAAATCACATTTAAAATGTGATTGCAATAAAATAAAACCATGGTGTAACAAAAGCCAATATTTCTGACTTTTTCCCAGTCTGACGTCAGACATCTATACACCATGTACGCGACATTGGAAATCGGTAGCGTAGCTCTTGGTGTCAACACAAAGCGGAAGATGGGGATGAAGGGAGCATTGCGAAACCTTTATTTTGAAAGACTTTACGTTTCATGTGACAGCTTGGACTCAAGTCAGGCCGCTTATAAGCTAGTATTCAGGGCTTAGCCGACCCAGAACCGTATAACCATCACAGAACCCAGTGACCATCTCGATATGGTCGTTTTATTGAATTCCGGGGAATGCAAGACTCTTTAAAATAGTTATTGCTTCCTCCTAATCGTATGAAGCCCGATTTTAGTAGCCAGATCAGAACTCTTATTCGGCCGAATGGTTGGTTCCCACTGGCAGGCCAACTATCAATGGGGCAACCTCCAGCCAAAAAGCTAGGAGGAGCTTTTTCATGGGGTTCTCTAAGCTGCCCTACTTCAGTGTCAATCTGGCAAACACTGCCTGAATTTAGGCCAAAATGCAACCATTGAAGGAGCAGACAGCTTCTCTAGAGCCTCCTCTTCTTTTTTAGTGTTTTTACCTTAAATTGGAGCCTTCTGGTAGCCCATACTTAACCCCTGGTTACGTTATACAAGGGCTGAAGTAGAACGAATTGAGGAGTGAAGTTGACAAAGTGAATAAATATAAGTAGTTAACCTGTTTCGAAGCGATCATGAGATTTCGAATAAAGACTTTATGCATCTTAGCTTTGTAATATGTTGCAGCATTACCTGGCTTCGAGTCACTTCTGGTGGTCTGAGGCGGTGATGTCCTAAACTCTGCTCATTACTTCGTTGGCAACTTAATCTACATCATCGTAAGCAATCTAAGGTGACTTAAGTTATTAGTAAATTGAGTAAATTATTGTTAGATGAATTACTGATAGATTGGCTGATTGACTGATCTGCTAAAATAAACAAATATATGAGTTGTGTTGGTAGTCTCGTTAACCTACTAATTTATCAAATAATCAGAAAGACTTTTAAAAACTGCCTAACTTAACTGAACTATTAAGATACAGAGCTTTGACTGAGAAAGTAGTTCTCTGAATAAATGAAAATGAGAATAGATTTATTTCTAAACTAGTCATAGAAATAAATAAACGAGCATTATTCGACTGATTGGAGGGAACGACTGACTGATTTTCACAGGGACTGAGAGCAGAATTGGTCAGCTACAGCCTGACTGACTGACAAAATGGCTGGCTGGCTAGTTGACTGATGAGCTTTCTGAGTGAGTGATTTGATTGAATGATTACCTAATTTGCCAAAAATCTGACCAATTCATTTAAAGACTGACAGACTTACAAAACATGCTGATTAAATTATTCCGTGTGTGAATGATGAACTGAGGAGCGAATTAAGCACATAATTACCAAAGTAACAGACTGATTGAACTACACTTAAATGAAAGGAATAATTCTTTGGGTAAATGACTAACTGACTTTGTTTTTAAGAATGACCTAACTGACTGCATGTATAAATAAATAAATCATTGATTTACTGATTAATTTTGATCTGATCAGCTTACTAAATGCTTAATTGAATACTTGAATATTTTGTTATGTTTACCCTTTTAGAATGGTATTATTAATGTGATAGCGTTGCTATCCAAAAGTAAGTAAAAGGGCTCGGGAGGACTTAGAACAAAGTACCTTCTTCGAGGTCGCCTTGATGAAAGGACCAAGATGCTAATTCTACAGATCTAGGGTAGACTGCCACCCGATTAGAGGCTATCTTGATGTTGGAGTACCTTTAGTATCGTTAGTTTCTAAAAAACTGA